TGAAGGTCTGCCTTCCACCTAGCCACTGCGTCCGGGGGACAGAGGGCTAATCCTGCTGGCCGGCGTCCTGGAACTGCTGAAGGCCGAGCCGCGGTGAATGTAGGAAATGAAGCATCAGGTCGAACTCGCTGCCATCCAGCCTCCAGAAAGTCGTGTTCATCCACCGCCACTTCAAAGCTCCACCTTGCCTTTGGTTGGGAGAGCACCTTCCCTCCCCTCAACGACCTTAGCACCTTCAAGTCTCAACGGCTCCCAACTACACCAATACAGACGCGGTCGACGTGCGAGGCTGAGTCCGCCTGCGTCAATGCTCCAAGGCATAGCGCCGTAGGCCGCAGACATAGTCTGGCAATCATTGGCATCCATCGAGGCGACGTTCTCTACAAGCCTGTGCACGGGGCACCGTTTGAAGTGTTCCGGGAGTAGGGCTTGAAACCTGTGGACATGTTGGAACAAGCAGGACCGTTCGTCTCTCAACGCTCCCTTCCGGTCCGAGTTCAAACCGGACACACCTTGGCACGGCGGTCCGGCACCCAGCAACACAAGCCCAACATTTGCAAAGCACATCCTCCACTCCAGAACGTCCTCACTTATTACGCTGGCCACGTCCCCCGCGCACACCACATCAGGGAAAAAGGACTCAACCACGCGATTGGCTTCTGGGGATATCTCTACCGATGCATAACCCCCAACAGGCACGCGCAAAGCATCCAACGCGACCCGGAGGGCGCCTATGCCATCAAAAAGCGACACCGCGAGTACCTGGTCCATCTCTTCAGGCTCAACGACGTCTCCGCGACATTCAGCTTGACACGCAGAAACACCGAAAGGGCTAAGTTCCCTACTCACGCAAAGTCCCCCACCCGCGGTGGAAGCATCACTGGCCGTCACTAGCTCTGAGGTGGCTGCCCGGAAATCCATGTAGGCCAAAGGACTCAGGGCAACAAAGCGAAGCAACTCAAGCGCAACTTCCTGCGGCAATGTCCTCCGAGCCAACGGACCCTTTGTGCCCAACTCAGTGACTTGTTTCCACACGGCATTCAATCCGGACAACAACGGCCTGCGGAACATTGCAATGTGGACAAAACCTCCTCCAACCACTTGCAACTCTCGTTGTGAAGCCTTGCCAGCCACGCAGATTTCTAGCGCAAGTCGTACATACCTAGCTACCTTTTCCAATTTCGGAGCTGCTCGACCTAGTTCTCCATCTACCCAAGCCCCTTGGACCTCGGCACGAACCTCCTGCGTGACTGCCTTCTTCGGATGCCGGGGTAGCCCCAACTGTTGATATGTCTCGCGCACCGCCAAGGACCAGGCCGATGGTGTTCCCGCTAGAGTCTCTGCCAACTGCTTGTCCACCTTGTTCAACTCATCATGGTTATCGAGATAAACCCTGTACTGATGGGATGACGAGCTTTGGTGGCGATCCCGCCGGATTTCTTGCTGCTTTCCTGCCAGCTTTCGCTCGCCCCCTAGCGCTTGTTGAATCACTCGACGGTGGACGCGCTGCGCGATTGCCACGGAGTTAATAAACCCCATGGGCAAGACTCTGCTGACAAGGTGCCAGCCTTTGCCTGTATAGCCCGCTGGGAGGCCCTCTGTGGGGACCTCCCTTCCAAACCCCATGAACCGGTGCCACTCTGGAGGCGTCCGGAACAAATAAAAGAAACACCGTATATCTTCTGAGGATGTCAAAAGCAGTTCCCCATCGCCCAAGACTGTTCCAGACATCCCTGTAACCGTAGGTAACGTTGAGGTGTCTCCGACTAAGTTTCGGCATAGTCCATTGGTTGGCACTAGGTTCATGACTAGTCTACATACTTCGAACTCCTCGCCTCCTTCATCCGCTGCTCTCTCACCTTTCTCTACAGCAAATAGCCCGTTGAGAACTGGACGCCCTTTAACATGATAAAGATCCTCCTTTCTCATGAGACCACAGACCCCCCGATCGACCAGTCCCAGGCATACCTCTGCCCAGTGCTCTTGGCTGACCATCGTGGCCGGCGTCTTTCCAAGGCTTTGATCCTGGGGCGGCAAGAGGAATTTCTCGAACTCCAAAACGTAAGACCGGGTGCCTCCATCACACAAGCTCAACAAGTCCAGCGAACCCACACCCTCTGGGAAAGCTGCTGCAACCATCTTCCATTGGAATGACCTTGCCACGCGAACCTCTTCGCCTGAATAATCGACGCCTTTTGTGGTGAAAAAGTCTCCAAGCGTAAGTGGGGGGAGAACAGCACGGGGTAAGCCGCTGGTCTTAAGCACTCCCCTCAACCGCTCCAGGATCCTCCTCTGGACCTTTGAGATATTCTTTCCTCCGGATGAGTCAACCCCATACAAACTGTTCAACCCTCTGATGAGCCCCTCTAATAAAGGATCCTCCTCTTCACACCATCCTAAACTCCCTGGAAGTGGGAGAGGAAAAAGCCCCTCCGTGGACTGCCCGCAACGCGTGGTCTCTGTCAACACCTCCAGGGACTGTGATAGTGCGGGACTCAAATCACTCCACAAGCTTTCTTTTTTGGCGCAAGCGCTCTTCAAAGTCATTTGCCACGATGTGTGGCAGAGCAAAGGGATGTAGAGAGGAAAGAAAATGTGAGGAGGTGTCAGAGAGTAGCCAAAGGGTTGAGGAAAGGCCAGAGGAAGAAGAGAAAGAAATTGAAAGGGCAATTGAAGAGATGCTGAACGAATGTCAACGAGAGGCACAGGAGAAGCAGGAGAATGGCAGAGGCTATAACCCTGGAGGTGTGCCTGGAGGGCGAAAAAGGTCGCTGGACATTCCGGCCTCAAAAAGGGAAGATGGAGGTCCCTCCCAAGCAGAGAGAAGGAGTAAGCAATCCGCAGGCTTGGCCGCGCCATCTTTCTGCTGGAGATGATCTTCATAGCAGCACAGAGGAGGGAAAGGAGCTCTCCCAGTTTGCATGGCAGCCCACTTCGCGACTGGCTTTGAACCCGTCCCGCGTCCCATCTGCCTCAGCCTCCCTCTTCATTGGTCGTCCTTTTGTTTCTTTCCCCATTTGCCTTTTTCTTTCCCCTTTCCTTTCTCTCCTCCCTTCTGCTTGTAAGAGGGCTCTGATCGAGGTAGGGACAGGTTTTTTTCCTCGGCCTTTGGGATGCGTTTCACCTTCTCCACGTGAGCTCAAGCCGTGCGGCCTATTGCCAATCGATCGGTTTCGGAACCTATCGCGAGCAGTCCTAGCTGCCTCAACTTGTTCGGTGGGCTCTGAGATCCTTATCTGCTCTGCATTCACCAACTCCAGCTGCCTTGAAACTGAGTAATGGCCACCTCGTAAGGTGGCCTCTAGCGACTTCGTCCAACGTGCGTGTCCATCGCCGTTGCCACCTACCTCCTCAGCAGCAAATCGGTGACATGAGCAACCGTCAGCAATTCCTGCCACATCACCGGACTCGCTAAAGCCTGCAAGTGCTGGTGCGCATACACGCTGAACAGCGGACTCAGTTGCTCCCAAGTAGTCCTCCCTCTGGATGCCACTGCTGGGTCTCGCCTTCTGCTCCTCCTCTGCTTTCTCTGACCTATGGGAGATGTGATCCTCCCTCTTCTTTCTCCTCACAACTGAACCACTATAACTGATCTCGAATTGCTATCTCTCTTCTTGGCCTTTCTCTTCTCTTTCTCTTTCTGATGTTTGGGAGTCCTGGACCTCTCCCTTGCTGGTCTCTCCTCTTCTTTTCTCCTGGGCAATGCCTTCTTCTCCTCACTCTGCTGAACTTCTTTGAGCTTCGCCGCCTTCTTCTCGTCCTTGTCAGGTTTATCAAAACTTCCTTCTTTTCCTCCTTCACTCGGGCCTCTGGCTTCGGGCTTCTAGACTTCTTTCTCCTCTTCTCCTTGGACTCTGGCTTGGGAGACCCTTCTCCTTTTCCTCCTCTCCTCCTGTGGCCTCCTTGGGAGGAGATCCTCCCTTATCGGATCCTTCTTCTTCTTCAGGAAATAGTCTGGCCACAGAATAGTATGCCGAGTCAAGGATCTTGGTGACTTTTGCCTCCGCTTCTAAAGTAGTCGGGAGGCGATCCGAACTCACGCCCGCCTTCAAGCGAGCGATCGACGCACACACCATGCACTGGCCGCTCAGAAGTTTCCACTTCTTGCAGCCAGGACAGGTGTGCATCACCCGTTCGAGCCCAAAGCTACGTGGGAGACACACCTGATTCGTGTTTAGTTATGGGGGCATTCAACCATAGAGATGTAGGAATTGGCTCGGTCCCTGCAAAAAGCATGTACTTAGAACATCACAGCCATCCACTTGGAACATTCGGGACGCAATCGGCTGTGATGTTCTAAGATGTTCTAACTTACTATCCAAATTTCTGCAAATTTCTGTGGATGTTCTATAATAGTTGTTTTTACTAGTGTTTAAAAAAAACGTCCTAGTGTAACATAAAGTAACAAAACAACCAAAAAACATTAATAATTGTATATTAAAGGAGCCCAAGATCCAAGTTATTTCGCATCACCTGCTACGCAGTGCATTGGAGGGTGTTCCTGGTGCAAATTCCAAGTGGTGATGTGTGGGACTTGTTGCGAGTAGAATTGAATGGACATGTGAGCATCATTTAGCCTGGTGTGAAACATGGAGGTAATCTTGAACATGAACAGCATCCAAATATTTTGCACACATGTATGGGCAAAGTCCAAACAATTAGCTGCTTAGCTGCGCAACGTTGAAACAAGTATGTATCGGAGTAACGACGAGAAGAGCAACACAATGTCTGCTGTCCAAAGTTGTAAGTCAGATATCTGGTTCACTTTCGGTAGGCTGAGATTTGGACACTTTGAGCTCTGTCTCGACCGTAAAATGACAACAAGAAGAGTCATTCTGGGCTAACCAATGCCAATCAACACACACACATGATATCCAACCTGTCAAGCATGACCCGGGCGTTGCCAATCAATACGTCTGAAATGATGCTGTTTACAGGCAACATGCCAAAGCTGAACTGAGCTTTAGTTTAAAAAGTTGCACGCTCATGACTATAATTGTTTAAGGAACCTCAAAGGTTTGCATTCTCCGCCTAAGGCAAAACATGTTTGGCATGTTTGGCATTGCATTCACAAAGTCTCAAGAAAGAACTATATAGTTCCTTGAACTGGTGAGTGAGGTGACAAACATCCTCCATTCTTGTCTTTGCCGAGCGAGCAGCCAGCGCCGTCTTGGCGATTGCCAGCAGCTTGTTCATGCCATGTCCCGCCTGAAAAAGAAGAGACTATCTGGCTGACTCGGAGGGGAGGAATCAAGCTCATGAAACTAGCACAACTTTGTACCAGTAGCAGCGTAGCGTAAAATTGCGAGCAAAAACCGGTATCCCTTGGTCGCCTCGACAAAGAGCCTGAAAAGCTCCCGAGCAACTCCGAAGTGGCCGATATCAAAGTGCTCAAACCAAGCGCCATTGATACTGTCCTCTCAGAAAGAATGCAAAAGACCGAACACAACCGTCAGAGACTATTTGGCACTGTATTTGTCCAGAAACCTCAGAGCAAAGGCTTAAGCCGCACCACCTTTGGGGAGTTTCTCTCATGATTGGCACCAATTGCGGCAAGGTCCGGTGCCTTCCAATACAAGAGTGACTGCCAGATGCATTCAACGTATTCTAAGTATATATTCAACGTATTGACTATTTTGAGAAACAAAAATTCCTGGAGTTGTGCTTCAAAGGGTTAGCATAAACATGCAAAGTTCCCTCCTCAGTACGATCAAAGGAGCCCTTGACAGCGTCCATTTTCGAGGCGACTGAAAACCTCCACAGGGTGCAGCAATGGGCTTGCACTACATTGCTGCGCGTGACTACATTCTTGCTGCAAAGGAGTTCATCCCGAACCCACAACTAGCCAATAGCTGCAAGGAAGAGAACCTTCCACAGGAAATGTTTGTAGACTTTTCATTCGTTTGATATGAACAATTTTGGTTGACTCATCATGCAAGCTCAAGCTTCATCATATTCACAAAGCTGCAGCACAGCATGCATACATTCCTTCCTGGTGGTTTGATAATGATTGAATCATCTAGCACATGGCCAAGGTCCAAAGCCAAGCCGAATCCGTCAGAACTGAGCAGGAACCAATCAGTGCGCACCCTGCTGACCCCGCCGATCCTGTAGTTCCTCTCACCCTTTGGTCTCCTGCCTAACTGCTTGCTGTGTATCACCGATAAAGTAGTCAATCGCCTTCTCCCAAGCATCTGTCATCCCTTCCACTGCAGTAAGGGCATTCTCTTGCAACGCCCTTATGGCAGTCAGCTGGACGTCGATCACATTTTTTTTAGAACAAATCTTTTTTAAAAACAATATATATATATATATATTTTGTATATAGAAAGGGCAACTCGTTGGTCTCTAGGGCTGCAGGGTGTGCAAATCTTGGGGGACCACGATCCTGGACGGGTTCTTTGCTCTGTAGCTGGAGCACGCTGGGTAGCGTATTGGGTTCCCTTCCACCACGACGGGCTTTTCCGAGGAGCTTGGCGCTCAGCGGCCAGCCATAGGTCAAGGCTGAGGTCATACACATATCAAGGGGCCCCTTCCTTTGGGCCCAGGCTCAAGGCACGACCTGACGCAAGGCTACACAAGCTGCACCAGCCTAAAAGTCGCGCGGCTTCATCATACATGGCTACAAGCGCTTGGCCAAGTACTTGGCTAGACCCGTTCGGCAGTCAGGTCGTTTCTTCGTCATGCTGTCGGCCAAGTCGTAGTCGCTTGCCAGCCATCTCAATGGGGCGCCGACCCTCATCACGCTCTCACGGGGCTGCGTCACCTGCAAGGTGGACCGAAGGTTGGTGAAGCCAAGAAGTGGGCTTTTATTGACCTGTACGGCAACATCACCGCCTCTGGAAACAGTGCACAAAATTCCAGGTATGTCACGAGCTTGCTGCTCTGCCCATGACACTTGCAGCTCCATGAAGTTCACCCCAAAGGAGCTTGACGCGAAAGTTGACGTCTTCGCCTTCCAGCACCACCTGGAAGCCAATCGCCTTGCGCTCCAGCTCCCACCCTCTCCAAGACAGGAGAACCATCGCGATGACGCTGCCAGTGGGGTCGCCACCAGGCCTGTTCACGCGTGCCTGGTCTGCAAAGGTGATGATGCAAGACATTACGACATGCCTTGGCCTTCTTGAGCTTGAAGAACTTGAGTTCACTTTTGGAGATTGACGACCTTCTCCGACCATCTTTTGGATCTCCATGGCGTGCGCCATTGCGCCATTCGTCACCAACTCGGACAGGAGGGCGTTACACCTGCCGCACAGGAGTGGCTGCGTCTGGACAGCTAGCCGCGACATTGAAGCGCTCCAAGACTCGCTCTGCAGGCTGCTTTTCTGCTTGGACAAGGTTGGCCGTTCCCCACTGGTAGGCCTTGTTGATCTTGGCACAAATCTCGGACCGCTCTGCACCATCCGACGATGCGATGGAAGTCGTCCACGTGGCCACCCATCACGTGACCAGTTTCATCCTTTTCTGTGGAACTTGCCCACAACCATAGACACCTTTCTCCCATGGCCGGACGGCCACCAACTCAACAGAGAGCGCGATGCAGATCAAGCTATTGGCCCCGACAGGCAGTGGTACTGCCGTATATAATGTCCTTCAGGATCTTCACGATGCATTCGGGCCCTACTTGAAGAGCTTCTCGAAGTTCAACAACTCCGCTCGTCCACAATTTTTTTGGGTTTGTAGGAAGCCCGTTGCCAGATCCAAGCCTTTGAGTTTCGATCCATGCTGGCGCAGGTGTTCTGGCACAGGAGGTTCCGGGCGATGACAGACTGCGCGGGAGAGTAGCTTTTGTATGACAATGATCCCAATTCAAGATGCTCATAGCCCAGGAGCACGATGCGCGCCATGGCTTTCTTGTCCCCCTCTTTGGTTGAGTCCATCTTGGCGAGCAACCGTCAGGATTCGGCCTGAACTGAAGGCCACTGTAGTTCAGCATCATTCAAGCTCTTGCGAACAGCTTGGTTCTGAAGAAAGCTGTTCACCTCTTTGGTCTTTGCCCCTGTGAATAGGGCTCGGTGTTCAGGAGAGAGCTTGCTGAAGATCACCTCAGACTCAGAGTCACGCATCTTCTTGACCAGAAGGCAATCGAGTTTTTTCGAAGAAATTGCTTTCGCTGCCGGTGGGAGGTGAAGTTCAATTTCAAACTCCATTGTCGTCACATCGGGGTAGTCACCCATGATGGCTTCAAAGCAAGCCCAACTCTTGTTCTCTTCGATGACCATGTTGTTGATCCATTTGGCATCACCATGGTTCACTTCACCTTGTTCCTTGAGCTCAGGGAGAGAGGTCGGCGAGTGATGGCCGATCATCGTTCCTCCGTTGGAGCCGGAGGTCCGGAAGAAGGCGCACTGCCAGCGCCACGTCGTTTACAACTCCGCTGAAGGATCTGGAGGCGCAGGTTCAAGAAGGTTTATACTGAAGATCTGGGTCATCAGCCATTTCCTGAAGTCGGCGGCGAACTGCAGCCTACATGCCAGAAGGAGGTACTTGTTGTTCAAAGCCAGCTCTGCGAAGTGGAACGAGAGCTTGGTCAGGATCAGGTTGATCTGGTAGATCAGGCTCTTCTTGTTCATGTTCTCCAGGCACTTGGTCGGTGAGGTCGGTGAAGTCTTGCCGGGGAAGAAGATCAGCGATCGATCACCATTAAGTTGGATCATCCTTGTTGGCGATCTCATAGGCCATTTGCTCGGTGGTGGTCACCGGGCGTACGGGACTGCATCTCATCAGCTGGGCCCCAAGCAACACCTAGACTCTAGACAATGTGACGGCATTCATCCATGAACCTGCCGAGGGAGTACTTCATGAAAGATCACACGGCCAAGCCCAGTCCACGTCCACGTTTCCCTTAATAAGGACGAGCGGGTCATTCCCGTCGCCATACCTTCACCAATTGTGTTGGGTGAGCTCTTCATGTCTTGCGGGCAATGGCTTCAGCATCTTGTCGAGCCCTGACCAGGGCTTAATATAAGACACGCTGTCGCCATCTTGTAGAGGACAGCACCATTGGTACAAGAGCTGTAGTGTTTGGTGCAGTTGGTGGAGTTCAAAGCTGCAGGCGCAAGCATGAAAGTCACCGACGGTTGGTCAATCTGTATGGCCGAGGCTGTCATCTTCATGTCCTTCACGCCATGGGCCCATGACGCTTTTTCAGCTGGAAAGGTTAGCTGAATGCCAACTTGGTTGCAGAAGTCATCTACTTCTCGACTTTCGAAGGCTGCTTTGTCGCTCAACCAGCGTTCGGTGAGGCCGTGAATGAAGTCAGCAGAGTCAGAGCTTTCGCCGTGCATCATGAGCCTTCAGACGAAGTCGAGTTGCCAAATCCACGAACAAGATGAATTTCAGCTTTGCCTTTTGGTTGGGCGCCAACCTTTGAAGAGTCAACACCCACTGCCTCCCATGGACGACAGACCCCAAGTTAGGCGGCGGCGCGCCGGGCACTTGAGCACACGCGCCAATAGTGGCACGAAAAAGTGCACCCCCCCACCTTCCATTCCCAGACCTGAAAACGCACATCAACGCGGGCATTCTTGTCGCGAGAAAGGATCGACGAGCCCTCTGCTGCAGAAGCTGTTGCTCCACAGTCAATTCAGTGGCCATGAACGAGCCCTCGCCGACGGACTGCTTCATCATGGGTGTCCTTGAGGCCATAACAGTTTTTGGACTTACAAGTCAAAGGGGGAAAACGTAGCATGCAAGGTGGCACCACCTTCCCGACCGCAGTGAATGCCTACACCATGCACTATGACCTCGGTGGCCGAGGGCTCCATGAGGACATGAACAACTTGTCCACCACAAAGAGTGAGGCATCAAGCGCTTCCACAGGCATGCAGGAACTTGCGCAGACACTGCCCGAAGTGAGGGAGCTGTCATGCTCATGCCACCGCGACTTGGTGAGGAGCCGGCGCTTGCTCGTTTGGCCGGGAATGAGGCCGATGGACCACCTGCTGCAGCCCATGCCTCGGGCTTCGTCACCAGGCGGTTCAGCAGGAGAAGCATCAGCAGCCTGAGAGCCGGTTTCATCTTTTCCTCCCATATCCTGGTCAAGGCCTCAGAGAATTCCTCATAGCCAAGTGTCTCTCTGACGAGGAAGTTGGCCATGCTTTCGTTGGGGCGTCGCCGAAATCTTAGGTACTACTGCAGGATCGCCTTAGGGTTCGACGAGAAGCCATCCCGGTTCCATGACATAGCCAAGAGGCGTGCTGGTCCTTCGACACCGACTGATCAAGAGGCAAAATATTTCCTCTGGCGTTGCCATGCCACCTCCTTGGTATATAGCGCCTCCATCCACCAGCCTGTCCGTCCCACGTGGGAACGAGTCCATCTCTTTGTTCCGCCATGTTACGAGGAAGGTGCCGAAAACAAAAATCAAGGAAAAAGTCCAGGCAAGGTCTAAAGCGCTTGCCAGGTCAAAGTCAAAAGGGTCGCCTTCTTCAAAGGCCAGGAAAAAGAGCTCAGCAGTGCCAAGGCGCTGGAGGTCCAGAGCGAAGATGTCGATGGGCCACCAGTGAAGTCAATGAGCACCGCTGCTTGAAGACACCGCCCAAGAGGTCAAGAGCGATGACCTTCAACTCAAATGCAAAAGGGTTAGGAGCTTATGCTCCGCTACCAATGTAGTTGGAGCACGCTGGGTAGCGTATTGGGTTCCCTTCCACCACGAACGAAAGAGGTCCACGTTTGGACCGCGGGCTTTTCCAAGGAGCTCAGCCTTGAGGTCATACACAAGTGAAGGGGCCCCTTCCAAAGGGCGGCGGAAAAGGACAAAAGGGTCCCGGCTCAAGGCACGACCTGATGGCAAGGCTACAAGCTTCAGTCTCCCCGTGTTACGGAGATACCTGCCCGTCTCCACATATGTACATTGTAGGAGATTGATTTGCCCGACTACACTGGGCCGCTGCAACGGGCACTTGACATTACAATGCAACCAGGCCGCTTGGTATTCAAGAGAGGCTTTGGAATCAAAGTACCAACGATTGCGAGGACTCCTCCAAGAAGCGATGTCATATTGATGATAGTTGGCCTTACACCAGTATTGAAGTGACTGAACAAAAATGTACAGAAAGGATCAAAAATGCAAGATTGGACGAAGACCTGCACGAAAATATTGTCAAAAAGAAGGAACAAAAAATGTTCTTGGCCACCACAACCATCACCAACAACAACAACAACAACAACACCAACACCACCACCACCACCACCACCACCACCACGACTATACGACTACGACTACGACGACCACCACCACCACTACTACTACCTCCTACTTCTACTACTACCTCCTACTCCTACTGCTACTCTGCTACTGCTGCTGTTGCCGCTGCTGCTACTGCTAGTTATACTGCTAGTGCACCTCCTTCTTCTTCTTCTACTACTACTACTTCTACTTCTACTACTCCTACTACATACTACCTACTACATGTTACTACCTACTACCTAATTGCTAACTACTAGCTACTAACTCAAGGACAAGCGTCTCAGAATCCCAGTACAAGCCCAAAAATCCCATGGGAAGCGAGCCAGTCCTCGGCCGCAAGTGGCACTGACAATCACAATCAAGCTTCTGAGACCATACAGTGAACAGTTCGAGTTGCAGTTGCACCTGTGGAATACGTTTTGAGCTTTGGAAGGTTCGGAAGAAAAAGTGAGAGAGAGAGATAGAGGGTCTTTGAGAAAAACGGTTCTCAACTGCAGCCAAGCTGGACATTCAATCCAGCTACATGAAATTGCCAAGGCTCAGCCCTGAAACTGCTGGATTGAGAAACTTGGAGATGAAATATACATGATAGGAGGCCAGGAACATCACCATATTCCTTGTCAGGCAAAGGCTTGCCGATAACTTTCCCAGCCAAAGCTTAAAACACAATGATTGCTGAAGAATAGAGTAAGCTTCTTTGGCGCTTTGCTCACCAACCAAAACAGCGCAAAGAGGATAGCTTCAGCCCAAACAACTGCTGGGATGTAGTTCGGGTCCTTGTAGACCTTGATCAAATATCCAGCAAAAGCTTGACTGAAAACCCTTGATTTTCTGCAAACCGCATGTGGGTATGCTCATGTGTATGCTCACCTTTGCCACAGCACAGGTTCGTGGTAGTCATCAGTCCACTGCACTTTGGAGGAGCACAAAACAAGTTCCAGACAAAATGGTGAGCTGCTAGCCAACAACAGGCCAAGGTTCTCCAGCAGCATGGTGAACTACAATAATCTGCAAACAAAACATGTCTTTCATCAGTGCGAGCCATGACTATGCTTCTTCGAAGCTGCTGTAGTAAATCCCTGGGTCACTATGAATCAAAAAATGTTGGTCTCAAGCAAAGCGAAAGGATTTGGCTGGGCTGAACCCGTCTGGGCAAATTGTAGGTGAAAAGGTTCTGCTCACCTTGCCCAAAGGTTCCCGCCCTACCTTTAACAGCGCAAACTCATGAAAGCATGCTCCATGCAGCAAAGCGGGCACTGCAGCATGAGCTTGAAGCACTCGAACGGTTTGAAAATCTTGTAGTTTGCAGGTGTAAGATGTGGAGGCAATGAATTGAACGAAATTCAAATGTTCAATCATTGTTCACGCGGCCATTGTGAGTCAGGGTGGTGACTGGGGGTGACTACCTATTAGAATCTTCAAGGAAAAAACAGTGTCTGTGGCTTCCATGGAACCATCTCAATAGGATCGCATGTCTCAGCTCCTCCGGGGCATTCCATCTGACTGCCAAGGGGAAAGATCCTGAGTTCTTGAGAACGGAACATGACTGTCAGTCTAAAATTGTCAAAACATGCCTTGACAAACATGTTCTCAAGAGTTTTGTCCACTCATTAAGTGTTTGGTTGATTCCTTGCACTTTCCGGTCAACGTGAAGAACACGATCCCCGATGTTTCACAATTGACAATGTGGCGAATGACAAACCGCTTACGTGATCTGTTTGCGCGTGGCCAGGTTCAAGATTCAACTCCGCTAAACCTGGTGTTTGAGACAAATCTCGATTTCGGCTGAAGTCCAAGGCATCCAAGGCACTGGTAAAGGACCCAAACGTTCAAGGTTGCCAAGAAGGTCCCAAAGAAGCCTTGTAAGGTCAGCTGCACAGTCGTCCCAGTGTTCGTCAGGATGCTGAAGAAGCAGAACTGAACCCTCAGATCCAAGGATTCCAGGAAACACAAAAAATAGAAAATGGTAGTAATGGCCTCCAACCTAATAGCGATGGCCTGCCAGGTGGATGACCAATGCCAAACATGTGAAATTGGTGCTTAAATGTTGGCCTGTCAAGAAGTTGAATGGAGCTGGATGTCAATCACATATGACCCAAAAAAACGTAAACAAGAGTCGAGACGTGCGTGCGTGCGTGCGTGCGTGCGTGCGTGCGTGCGTGCGTGCGTGCGTGCGTGCGTGC